GTGTAATTGGTTAAGTTTGTCCTTTAAGTTGGCTTTAGCTTTACATTTGTTAGAATAATGACCCTTTTCACCACAATTATAAAAAGTAACATCTTGAGTAGATTTTGACTTTTTAAAGTTTTTAGTTTTCTTGTGATATTTCTTGTTAGGTTTGGTATAATATTGATCAAGTGATTTACATGATGAATGTTTTTTTACGATATTTCTTATATGGTTTGGGGAAAGTTTTATTTTTCTTATGTTTTTTACGCAATGGTGCTGTAGGGGGTAGACCATATTGTTCATAGAAGTTACTTAATTCACATTTAGCCTTACGTTTATCTCTAGCTGCTTTTTGACTAAGTTTTGTGTCAATACACATTTTTAATCATTCTTTCTAAATAGTACTAATTATATCACCATAAGTTAGGTTATCATATTCAATAATACCAGTAGGTTGACTAAGGACATCCCTAGTTTTATGGGCAAAAAGACTAAGTAATCCATTAATAAATTTTTCTTTCCAAAATGATTTAGTATAATTATCTCTAAGCATAACTCTAGAAGTAAAGACATCTTTATACCAATGAAAATCACTCAATGTAGGGCAAGTTAAATTACTAAGTTGATCATGGATGCGAGAATGAATATTAGTAGGTGTTCCAATAAAATATTTAATTATGGTAAATATTAAAGTATGGGTAAATCATAAATACACTCCCTGAGGTTTCTTTAAAGTACAAATTGCTCCCTGTGGTTTGAAAATTTACAAATACCTCCTTGTTAGTATTTTTTATTTAACAGAATTAACTAAAAAAATTAAATTCATAATTGCTCTCCTATACAATAATAAAATTACCTAAATTATTAATTGAAACGTACTTCTAACATCATTAAAAACTGTTAATTGACTTGATGATTTATTAATAAAATTGGTGATTTGCTATGAAATTAGAAATTTCAGGAGGTGGAATGTAATTTCTAAAACCATAGGGGGCGATTCGTATTTTAATCAAACCTCAGGGGGTGTATTTGTAATTTACCCTTAAAGTATTAATACTATCAGGTTTACTTGTTCCTATGTCTTCATCAAATATGAGGAAGTCATTTTCATCAACTTAGACTGCATTTTGAACGTCTTCACGCCTATCCTGAGTAAGATATTTGTCCTACTAATATTTAAGCATACCAGTAAAACCAGAGGTAAGTAAAGAGATTATTTCAGGTTGAGTGTGGTCAGGATAATTACTGAGATAACTCTTAGCCACCATAGACATGTGATTTAACTTTTGAAGAATTTGATTTTCACTAAGACCATCTATATTCCATTCATATAATTTTTTGGCAGAAATAGAAAATTGATTGCTTATATTAGTTTCTTCAAATTGAAGATCAGGTGGGGTTGGTTTATTATACCAATTTTTTTGTAAGAATGACAGGATTAACTTTTGGATGTACGATTCGATTAAGATGAGTGATTTGAAATCGTTGTGTTAATTGACTAATTTCATTAGTTGATGTATTGGAGTCACTAGTAAATTCTAAAGGTGGCTATTGTGTTAAGACAATAATTCATTTTTCGTTCGAAGGGTAGATAACTTAGTAAATAAATGTTCAATAGCTTCAACAGTATTAGTATCTTGAGTAACTAGACTTAACCTTTTCCTAGTGCTAGGAAGATTAATAAGAGGTTTATCTAGAGGTTTACTAGTTGATGTATGGCTAGTTAAGTAATCATCAAAATGGGTTTCAATTTTATGTAATTGTTTACCAATAGTTTTTAAACATTGATTTGTATAATTATTTTGTTTAATCACTTTTTTAATTTCAGATTCATCACTAGGAAGTTTAAAAGAAGAAGCATGTACAAGTGATCCTTTATATTCAATGAGGATGGTTTCTAAAGGATGATGACTAGAAGAAACAGTAGTATTAGGGTAAGTTTTCCATTTAGTTTTTGTAATAGTATTTAATTTTTGATAATAATTTTCAAGATAATCAAAGAAATTGGCTTCAAAACTAATTTCATTCATAAATTTATACCATATTTTAATTATTTTAGATTGTTGTCGTTCACTATAAGAATTTCTATAAATTTGTTGTTTGAATTTATTTTCTTTAGATTTAAATTCAGAATGAAGTTTATTAAGATCTGGAGTAAAGGTTTTACTAAGGGTTAATAATTGCGGATTAACAGGAGGAATAACTTTAAAGTCTGTTTGAATGAATGAATCTTGAGATGTGGTATTTTCTTAATGAAGATGTGTGTGCGTTGAATAAACAGGTTTACTAATTTGAGATGTAGAGAAATTATCGATTCTTTTTAATTTACTATTAGCAGTATGTGGGGGTTGACCAATAAGAAGTTTTTGATCTTTGCGAGTAAATAAATGGGTATTAAAAATTTCATCGTCATCAGTAGGAATACTAGAGGTACTATGTTTGGAGGATTGACTATAACTTGGGCAATTAAAACGTATGTGAACAGAGCCACCATCATGTTGTTAGATTTGTCGGACATTATTACTATTGGATTGGTGTGGATGGATATAATTTTCATTGACTATAATCCAATTATCAGGAAGAGTGATTTCATCCCAGCAAATGGTTTTAGGTACTTTGATGTTGGTTTCACTAGTATTGCCTTGGATGAGTAAGGTTTATCTTTTGGACTTTTTACCAAAGCATGAACATTAAGATTGGTTTTAATACATTTGTAATAAAGACGATAAATTAAAGCTATAGAATGTGCACCACCTAACATTTTGGTAAATTCACCAGAGACTTGTATATTTAATGTTAAAGATTTTAATATATGAGGATCTTATAAACTTAAAGTAAAATTAGGAAAACAATTAAAATGGACAGGTTCTTTATGAAGTCTAGATTCCATCATTCCCATTAGACTAGCATGATAATTGATGAATTGAGCATCTCGTAAACACAATAAAACAGAAGAATTACGACTTGCAGGAGTTAAAGGTTTGATTCCAACTTGGATTAATCCTATATGAATAAAATTATGTTCAGTATATATATGTTTTCTGATTGATTCTTTACTAAGTAAGTGACAAGTGTTTTTGGACTTTGGTTAAAGCATAAACTTGTTCAACAATTTTAACATGTAAATCAATGTTAAAAGATGACTTTAAAAAACTAGTTTTATAAATTTCCTTAATTGGCATTTTTGGGATATTCCAACTTAAATCTATTTTGAAGCTAGGCTTTCAAGTTATTTCTAGTGAATAATTTACGATTGTAAGTTAGTCTAATTTCAGCTATTTGTCTGTTAAATCTGTCTTTTAATTATTTTATTTCAGTTATCTATCTTTTAATTACTGTATTGCTTCCACCCTTTTGGTATCAGAGCCATGTTTGTAGATGATAGCTTATTGTTAAGTTATTTTTGACTCGACCTGTCCATTTTAATTGTTTTCCTGATTTTACTTTAAGTTTACGAGATCCTCATATATTAAAATCTTTAACATTAAAGATACAAGTCTCTGGTGAATTTACCAAAATGTTAGGCGGTGCACATTCTATAGCTTTAATTTATTGTATTTATTACAAATATATTAAAACCAATCTTAATGTTCATCCTTTAGTAAAAATTCCAAAAGATAAAACCTTACTTATCCAAGGCAATACTAGTGAAACTAACATCGAAGTCCCTAAAACCATTTGTTGGGATGAAATCACTCTTCCTGATACTAGGGTTATAGTCAATGAAAATTATATCCATCCACACCAATCCAATAGTAATGATGTCCGACAAATCCAACAATATGATGATGGCTTTGTTCACATATGTTTTAATCACCCAATCAAATCTTACTAGATCAAAACAAAAAATAGTTGCAGAATACAATCATCTCTTTATATCTGTTTCTTTATTTTGATCTCTTAATTTTTCTACATTTTCTCAGCTGTACACTTCTTTTTTCCTATTTTAACGGATAATTTTTCAAATTCTGAATAAGTTATTTTCGAGTTTTATTTACGGGCGATGAAAATTGTAAAATTTTGTAGTTTCAATTTTTTAGGTGCTGAAATGAATCATGGTTTAAAATTACAAAATTTTACAGTTCCATAACATATTTTTCAGTTTGATTAACAAAGATAAGTGCTTAATAGTTTTTTTGCTTTGAAAACTGTACCATTTTATAGTTTCAAAACTTACTTTTCAGTTTGATTAATATTGGAGATTATTTGCTTAAACCCTACAAAAATTTTTAAAAACATATTTTTTTATCATTGTTGTTGTTTTTTGTTGTTACAATTTTTTTTTTCAATTTATTAATATTTAGCATATTTTGCTATATTTTTTTTAACTCTAATTTATCATTTCGGTGAGTTTCCAATGATATTTTTAACATCTAGCGAATGTTTTGGGCATTTCGGCGACTTTCAGTGACGTTTAGAATATTTCAGTGAATTTTCGGCGAAACTCTGGTGACTTTTCGGTGATGTTGAACATTCTGACGAGTTTCCAGTAACCGTTTGACGAAAGTTTGATGGTGGTAGAATGTAACAGCATCTGTAATTTAATTTTTTTTTGCTAATAATTAAAAATATACTAGTAAAATTAATTAGTGTAAATATTTTATTATAAAATCGGATGAATTTTGAATATGAAACCCTTTACCTAAATGATACTAGCGAATGTGTACAATTCAGATAAATAATAATAAAAAATTTAATATTATAATTGGTATATTACGTAATAAAATTTAAAATTTTGAATTCAAAACTTATATAAGTTATGTATAATAAATTTTTTATTTTACATATATAAAATTACCATGAAGAAAGTTGGCCAAGTTTGGCTACAAAGAAAAAAGTGCACTTATTTCATCTTTTTATCTTTTTTGAGTCACATCAATCAACATCTCCTCTCTACTTTTTTACACATAATACAAAAAAATCAAAAAATACACTTATTTAGTCTTTCCAAACTAGACCTAAATCAATTTAGGCCATAATTGTATAGGCCATAATAGTATAGATGAACTAGCAAGGTTTTATTCACCCAAAAAAACTAGCAAGGTTTATCAACAGGCGAGTCGAGAACTTTACCAGTCTCCTATTTTAAGCTCTCAAATATCTTCAAATCCTCACTGCGCTGTTCCTCATCCTCAACCCATTCCTAACTTCTCTTTCCTCTTTTGCAACTCTCTCTCTCTCTCTCTCTACATGAGCTCTGCAACCCTCGACCTCTAGCTTTCCCACATGAATATGGCGGTTCGAGCAATGAACACCTGTTCAATCGTTCGCTCTGCTTCTTCCCCACCTCTCGCTGCTTTTCGATGCCGTCTTCACCAATTCAGAGCCTTGCAGTTTCGGAGGCATCCGAATTTAGGGTTTCAGTTTTCAATTTTTCGGCCTCACCGGCACAACCTCATGCTCGGCCATGGTCGAAGCTATTCTGTTCAAAGTCTCGTTGATTCTGTCATGGAAGAGCTCGATGCCCTGCGCAAACGGAAGAGAGTTCGCGCAACTAGCAAGTATGTACTTAGAGAAGGAGGTGATTATTTGTTTTTGAATTTTAATACATATACAATAAACAAACAGGTAAGAAGAGTTGCTCAATTTTTTCTTAGATTTGATAGTCATATTCTAGGTTTATTTTTTATATATTGCAAGTGCATGGAAGATGTCAAGGAGATAAGAATTCCTCTTTAGGAAATGAATGCATTTGAGCCGAGAAGGTGGAAAACATAGGTGATGGGGTACACACTTTTTGGCCATGTTTGATTGCCGGATTAGGTTGAATGGGTTTAGGAGTAATGTGAATTGAGTGATATGATTAGTAGTGTGGTGGTATTAGGGTAGAGAAGTAAGATAAAATGTGTGTTTGTGGACTAGGATGGTGCTATTAGTTGGTTGACATTAAATCTATGGAATTATGTAAAAGTACTTATTATACAAAAAGTGGCATCATTGTTTTTGTAAATATGGGGCAAAATAATCTACTACCTTCAATCCCATGAGATTGGATTGGCAATCCCAACCCCATGGGAATGCTAATCCCACCCTTAGAGAGGGGTTGATAGTCACATAGGACTGTCAATCCATGGTATTTTGGTGGGGTCCACAGATGTTAATCCAATCACATCCTCTAAGAGGCTAAACAAAATTTTGGCTTGAAAGCTGCCATAAAAGTCTTGTTAAGTAGATTAAAATGTAATTTGTGAAGACAGACGGGCACAAACACAAAACACGTGATTTTGAAAATAATAGGATACGGACATAATGGGGATAAGTCAAGAGGAGAAATCATGGAGAACCTCGGAATGACATAAACTGCTCCCAGCCCTACGCTACTTATGCCAAAAAAATATTAGTTATATATTTTTATTTGTTATGTATATGAATAGATTATGTAGGTGTATTTTATTTTGTTTTATTTAACTTTGTCCACTTTGTTTCCATATAAATTATTATAACTTCAAATCAACTTTCTAAAATCAAATAAAAACCTATAAGGGTATCTCGAGGCATGTCCAAACACAAGATATGCGTATTCCCTAATGTATCCCACAAAGATGTCCGATATGTGTTGGATATAGACACAACACCCATTTTGAGGTGTAAGTGCTTCCTAGGTAGAAAGTAATCAGTTCTAAAGCACAATATTCAGTCGTGTAAAGGTTTCTAAAATACTTTTTAACAAGAAACCCAATCAAAAAGACATTCAATGACTCATAAATTGAAATGAAGTCATCCAATGGTAAAAAATGGAAAAACTATTTCTATGTTACTATTTGCACCACACATCAGATCACAACATGAAATTTCACAAGCTTTGTGTGCTCTTGAGTTGTTTACTAATCCATGGTCAACAAAAAAAGTGAGGCTTCAAACTATGAAATCTGGATGGTATGTTACTCAAATTTGTATATGGTTTTCAACATACTAAATTACCATAAATTAGAGAAACAGTGAGAGAAATGACAGTTGATAAAGAAGGTTCACTACTCTTACTATGAAGGAAAACTCTTTTTCACATTTGTTTGACGTTCTGCATTATAAGAATTACTGTGTTCACTTGTGGCTTCATATTTTGATTTAATCATGGAATCATTTTGCAGAATAGGACTAACAAGCAGTGGGGAGCTTCTTGAAGATAAACTTGAAAAGCGAGCACTGCAAAAAGGGTTCCTGCTGGAGTTCAAGAAAGACTCTGAAAGGGTATTGCTAGCAGTTGCTCAGAAACCCGATGGCAAGAAGAACTGGATGGTCTCTGATCAGGTTCTTGTAGAAACAACTAATGCGGCATGTTGAATAGGTTGCTAGGTGTTGGAACTCATTGTTTATTTCACCAATGGTTTAAGAATTAGATGTTTTTCCAGTTAGTCTGATTGTTCTCTTGGTTTTCCTGTGATGCAGAATGGTGTTACTACTTCCATTAAACCACAACAAATAACTTTTATTGTTCCCGGTGTTAAAAATTTCAATCACATGGACATATCAGATTTTATCCAGAAAGCTCAAAATAACTTGGTTGGTTCTTCTTCTTGCATTATGAAGGATAGTCACCAATTTGTGTTTTTTCCTCTTTGGTGGTCAGAGTGATAGATAAAATTTTTCTTTTTATTTTTATTTTTTTGATTTGATGTAGGATCCCTCACTGCTTGAGTTTGCCTGGGTTGAGCTTCTTGAAAAGAACCAGTCAGTAACAGTTGAGGAGCTAGCTGAGGTATATATTCTAAGTGTCATATTTATACCTCATTGTTCTTCTAATGACCTTAACTCATTCTAACAGATGATTTTTGGTAGTGTGGAGCCTCTTGAGAGCTATTGTGCTCATCTTTTGCTTTCAAAAGACGAAATTTACTTCGCAGTGCTGGAGACCAAAGGTTACATTTCTGTTTATGGGCCTCGTCCTGCCATGCAGGTATGTGACGTAAAATTTGTTATAACCTCGGGCTGGCCCTGAGATTTCAGGGGACCAAGGTGAAATCTTAAAATTGGGACCCTTTATGGTATAAAAAAAATTATTTATTCAAAATTTTAACTCGAAGGTGTATAATGTAAATTCAAAGTTAGTTTAATGTGAGCCATACCTAGAATGAATGAGATATATAAATATATTTTTTGAGTTAATTTTTAAGAGTATATAGTATTAATGCATACATAATCATTACCAAAAAAAAAAATTGTAGAAAAATGGTAATTAAGTATTTGCAGTTCTTTTTTACTAATACCCACACCCTTACACCAAATGTTTGTTAAATCAATGGAGAAACATTTTTTTTAAAATTTTTTTTTTTTATATCAAATTTGTATTTGATGAAAATTCAAAAAGATTAAGCAATGGAGATATTTTTTTCAACAAATTTGCTGAAAATAGAAATTTGCGGTAAAAGAAGATTTTTTAAAAGATTTTGAAAAAACTTTGATGAAAGGGTTAGAGTAGTTTATAGCAAATCAAAATTTTTATTCAAATTTAGAATCAAATTAGACAATAAAAAGTAATGAAGGGTATCTTTAATTTGGATTGTAAAGTTAAATGAATTAATTTGTGCTTTCATTTTTAAACCTACTAATGTCATAAGTGCTAAAACTATTTGGGGGCCCTTAAAATTTATCGAAAATTTGGGGCTCAAGGCGGGGCCGCCTTGCTCGCCTTGGGTCAGGGCCAGCCCTATTATAACCTTTTATCAGTTTAAATTGGTTTCATGAAGTATTTGGTCCATTTGTGGAGCTTGGTTTGCTATGCATATCTGTTGGTGTCCTATATTTGTGGATTGTGTACCAATGAGCACAATTTGGCATGACGTATTGAATAAGTTGTAGTCTAATTTTGATAGTGTTATGAAATTTTGCCTTAAAAAAATTTCCAAGGAGATCTTAGGATGTGCAAAAGCAACATTTATTGTCTTTGTGAACTGGTCTAAGATGGATCCTATTTAACTGGAGAATTATCAATTAATTGTCTTCTCAATTAAGGAAGGTGCAAAGTAAATAAAATAATGTAGTCCTTCATGGATCATAATGTGAAATTGTTGACCACAACTCATCAAAAAGCTTACTCTGTTAGACAGAGGGACAACATTATTATTTTTATCCTATATATAATTTCAATCATTATGCTGATCTTAAATACTCATGAGTAAGGCTGCAACTTACTGTTTATGGTTTTGGGCTATAAAGCATAGACATAGACATGGGACACATATACAACACGACATGGACATGTTAACACGACAAATACCAGTATGAGTGAGTCAAAACACACAAACATGCCAATGAATAGTTGACTGCACTTCTTAGCGTAATGTTCTCGGCGGCGCAAGGAGTTGGCCCTCACTGGAGAATTCTGTTTTTAGGGGGCTGTTCTTTTGAACTCGAAGAGATTGAGGAGGATCGGGTTGGGCGGCCTTGGTTGTCAATTGTGGAGTGAGGGCAAGGTCTTCGAAGGGCAATCATCCTTGCGGGTTGTGAATTGGGTTGGCTTGTCGCGAGGCTCCGAAAGGCTTCACGAGATGTCGGTTGGTTGGCCTATCTAGGAAGACTTATTGGGGGTTGTCGGACGGTGGTAGTATGGGTCCAAGGGGAGGAGAATGGTGGTTTGTCGGTGCAGATTGTGGCTACGACATGCAGCAAAAGGGAGCAAATTTCTCTCTGATTCCAGTTTTGGAGATGGGTGGGAGGGGCCTGCACTTGTTATTGAAGGCTTTGCTTTTGGGGATGGTTGGGCTAAGGCTAGCAGGGTGATGCAGTGTGAGGTGGTAACAGCCGGACAGCAATGCTCGGGTTCATGGTCGGGCTTGGGCGGGCTTGGGCACTGCCAAATACAATTCGGGTCGGGCTTGGGCAGACCCCCAACCCGCCCGAACCCGCCCGAGTTGCACCCCTAGTGGTTACGGGGGGAGGAGATAGGGTTTGGCTTCGGTTACTTGATAGGGCCTTGGTGGGAAAGGTAGGCGAGGAAGGTGAGAAGGGGCTACGGATTTCTTCTGGCACCGATTGGGTGCGTCGCTGATGGAGAGCATCGGGAAATGTGGAGGTGTTGAGCGTTGGGAGGACAATACTTCTTGTTCGTCTTTCCCTCGAGGCGAGAAGCAGCGGCGGTGCTGTGACGAAAGTGGACTCTTGCTGGGTGTGATCTTGTTTTGGACTGGTGGTTACCTACTGATTTCTGCGTTTGACGAAGGGCGACGACGTTGGCAAATGGTCAGTGGATTCAAATTTTGGGCTTACCTATTCATCTTCATGGGTTAGAGATGTATCGCGCCATTGGGAACAGGTGTGGTGGTTTTTTGGAGGTGGATGAAACGATGGATTTCTTGGGTTGTGTTCATTTGAGGGTTCGAGGGTTGTTAGAAAGGCTCTCCCCACAGATTTTAGTCCGGTGGGGCTCTTGGCGATTTTCTTTGCCTGTTTGGTCGGAGATAGGGTCGGAGGTGGAATCTGCTTCCCGGACGACAAGAAAGGTTGGCGCAGATTTGGCGCAACATGATCGACGAATCTGGCGGAGATATGGGGATCGTCCACCTGTGCTGAGATTTGGGGGCAAGTAATGGGGAAAATCCATGTGCTGCGTATCTCAGGGAAGAAGCTCAGCATTTGAAAGGAAGGCCGAGGGCCGTCGGACTTTGGGCTTGGGCCCAATGGAACATAATGCTATGGGCCAAGTTGTGTCTTTCAAGAGTCAAGTGGGGCAGGGGGCCTAGTTGGGCCTAATGTTGATCAAGCCCAAGGATCCTCTGGCCCTGTTGGCTGTTTCTGAGGCTGGGTTGCATTATAGGCCCAATAGGGGCAAGTTCTCATCCAACGGGTCAGGTGTTGGACCCCCCCATGCGACGGGTCTTCGAAGTTCTATATCATGATGTGGGGTTGGGTTCGTCAGTTGTGGATCATCCTGCTTGCGTGTCAGAGATGATGGGTCATCGGATGTCGACGACTACGACAGGTGAAGTATCGATGGCAAAGGAAGCAGGGCCATCGACAAGGAAGTCAGATGGGTCGGTGGCAAGGCCTGGGTCTAAATTATCGGAGATGATAGGTAGTTTGAACACAGTTTCAGGAGGTGCAAAGCAGATGGCGTCGGTGGTGTCGACTTTGGGTCTTCAACTAGTGGTGCGCTATGAGTTGATCAGGGATGCGCCGGAATCTGGGTATCCTTTGGAGGCTGATGGTTACAACTTTTGGGCTGAAGTTTCATCCTTCGGAGAGGAGGAAGTGCCATCTGGATGGGAGCAGCGTGGTGGGTTGTCGTGGGCGGATAGGGTTGCTTTTGATATTGAGGAAGGTCTGAACCAATTGTTGCCGATGGTGGTTTAGCCACTGGGCGTGGAGGTTGGTGAATCGGGGGTTATTACAGGTCCGAATCTGAAGTTGTCTCACAGTGGTGCAGAGCTGGGTAGGAATGGGGCACCTTCGGCTGTGGAAGTTTCGGATTGAGTGTTGGAACGAATCAGTGAGGTTAGTTGGGTATAGGGCCTATCTTTCGAAGGGTATAAGGAGGAAGCGCTGTGGTTATTCTCACCGGCAGAGGAGTCATGGCGGAAAGGGACTCCTAGTAAGGAGGGGGTCAAACCATCAGAAATCGGCCGGAAAGGGCACCGGGAGCTTAAGAATCTCACATGTTCCATTAATTATGAACACTGAGGGTCAAAGGTGGGAAGTGACTCCCGGAGAACTCGTGGGGGATTACTTATGTTGAAATGAGATTAAAAATTCTTTCTTGGAATGTGCGGGGTTTGAATGATAGGGACAAAGGAATGGCAGTGAAAGCGGTTTTGCATAGTGCGAAAGCTGATGTGGTATGCTTATAGGAGACAAAGATGGAGGTGTTAGGGGAGGCGGTGGTACGCGATATGTGGGGCGGACGGTTTGTAGAGTGGTTTCATTTGCCAGCTACCGGTACAGCAGGAGGGATACTTTTTTGTTGGGATTCTAGGGTAATTGTGAAGGAGGAGGAGGAGGAGGAGGAGGAGGGTGGTTTCTCTTTGTCTTGTTTATTTCGGTGTGTGGAGGATCAGTTTCGGTGGGTGTTTATTGGGGTGCATGGTCTAGTGCGGAATGCAGATCGAGGCGAGTTCTTGGCTGAGTTAGAAAATGTGGCTTTTCGTTGGTCAGCGCCTTAGTGCATGGGGGGTGATTTTAATATGGTGTGGTGGCCAGCAGAGGGGTGGGGAGCATTAGGGGTTTAAGGTGGATGCGGTCTTTCTGTTCCTTTGTTGATGAGATGCAGTTGATTGATTTGCCTCTTCAAAGGGGGAGTTTCACTTGGTCGAATGGGCAGAGTTTGTCGCGGATTGATCGATTTTTGATTTCTAGAGGTTGGGAGGAGCATTTTTCGGATGCTACTCAGATTCGACTACTTCGCCTAGTGTCAGATCGTTGGCCCATTTTACTTGATAGTGGTGGGGTTCAGAAGGGCCTCATTCCTTTCCGTTTTGAGAATATGTGGCTGCAATCGGATGGTTTCTTGGAGAGGGTCCGAGGTTGATGGACTAGTTATGTGGTCCTAGGTTTTCCTAGTTGTGTGTTGGCTCAGAAATTGAAATTGCTTAAAAGGGATCTGAAAGGATGGAATAAAGAGGTGTTTGGCTGTTTAAAGGGCCAAAAGGCGGCGGTGGTGTCTTTACTCCAGTCCTTGGATGAGATAGAGGTTAATGGGGGCTTGTCGCCTGATGACGTTACTAGCAAGGAGACAACCAAACAGGATTATGTCCGTATCTCTCGTGTGGAGGATGTGTGTTTCAGGCAGAAATCTCAGTATTTGTGGCTAAAGGATGGGGATCGGAATACAAAGTTATTCCATCGGATGGCGAATGCACATCGTCAGGCGAATCAGATTAACAGGTTGCGGGTGGAGGGTCGAGAGCTAGACACAGAAGAGGAGGTTGAGGAGGGGATTGTGGCTTTTTATCAGCATTTATTTCAGCAGCAAATAGGGGAGTAGCGGCCAGGGCTGGCAGAGGTTCAGTTTGATATGATTTCGGAGGCGGATAGGGTGGCTTTGGAGCGCTCTGTTTAGGAGGAAGAGGTGTTTGGGGCTTTACGGGCAATGTGTGGGGATAAGGCGCCAGGGCCGAATGGCATTACCATGGCATTTTTTTAGCATTGTTGGAGCATGGTTAAGACAGATGTGATGGAAACTTTGGAGGCTTTCTTTGTGACGGGCCAGTTTGAGAAGAGTCTTAATGCGATTTTCTTGGCTTTGATTCCTAAGTAAGGGGGGGTAGAGGATATTCGGGATCTTAGGTCTATTGGTCTGCTTGGTAGTGTGTACAAGCTTTTAGCTAAAGTCTTGGCAAATAGGCTTTGCGGGGTTTTGCAGGCAATGGTGTCTGAGTCCCAAAATGCTTTTGTGGGGGGTCGTCAAATTCTGGATGCAGTGTTGGTGGCAAATGGGTCTGTGGATTCTTAGATTTGACAGGGGCAACCGGGTTTGATTTGTAAGCTGGGCATTGAGAAGGCTTATGATAATGTTCGGTGGGAGTTTTTTCTGAATGTTTTGGAGCCTATGGGTTTTGGAGAGACTTGTGTATGTGGATTCAGTTTTGCATTTCTACTGTGTGGATGTCTGTTCTGGTAATGGTACGCAGGGGGGTTTTTTTTCGACCTATAGCGGCCTTCGTCAAGAGGATCCTCTGTCTCCATTATTGTTTATCTTAGTGATGGAGGCATTGAGTAGATTGGTGGATAGGGCTGTTCTTGGGGGCTTATTGGAGGGCTTTTTAGTAGGTCCTCTCACGGGGGTGCTTATTTGTGTGTCTCATTTGTTGTATGCTGATGATGCTTTGATTTTTTATGGGGCCGTAGGGGAGCAGGTGGGTTATTTGAGATACGTTTTGTTGTGCTTTGAGACAGTTTCGGGCCTTTGGGTGAATCTCGGGAAGTTGGAAATGATTCCGGTGGGGAAGGTGGAAAATTTGTCCATGTTAGTGGCGGTGTTGGGCTATAAGGAGTTGGCTTTGCTGGCTATGTATTTGGGCTTGTCGTTGGGGGCAACTTTTAGGCTGATGAGGTATGGGATGGAGTGGTGGAGCGAATTCTGTGCCGGTTGACAGGTTGGAAGAGACAATATCTTTCGAAGTGTGGTAGGTTGACTCTGATCAAGAGTGTATTGAGTAGTATTCAGACGAATTTTATGTCTTTGCATGTTATTCCGGTTTCGGTGGCACGGCAGTTGGAGAAGCTTCAATGAGATTTTTTGTGGGGCGGTGGGGGGGATGATTTTCGTTATCATTTGGTGGATTGGGGGTGGATTTGTCAACCAAAAGAGGCAGGGAGGTTGGGGGTTCGGCGTTTGGTGACTTTCAACAAAGCTTTGTTGGGTAAGCGGCTGTGACGCTTTGCTTTGGAGCCGGTGAGGGTTTGGAGACGGGTGGTGGTTAGTAAGTATGGGTTGGTTAGGGGGGATTGGGGGACAAGGGCTGTGGTTGGATCTTATGGGTGTGGCTTATGGAAAGGTATTGAGTTGGGGCGAGTGCAGTTTTGGGTGAGGGTGGAGTTCCGGATGGGTGATGGCAGGATGGTGCGTTTCTGGAAGGATAGGTGGTGTGGCGGAGTTGCGCTAGCGGATCGTTTCCTGCTAATTTTCGGAATTGCAGGAAATCAGGATGCTATGGTAGCATCCTATTTGGGGGGTGAGGGTGTGGTGGTTTGGGACATTCTTTTGAGGCGATTGGTCCAAGACTGGGAGTTTGATCAATTGCTACAGCTATGGGATTATTTGTATGGTCTGGGTGTGACTGGGGTGGGGAAAGATGTTTTGGGATGGACTGTGGTGGGGGCTAAGGGGCATTTCTTTGTTTCATCCTTCTGCTAGTGTTTAGCGGGGAAGGTGAGGAGGGATTTCCCTTGGAAGAGTATTTGGGTGTCGGGAGTTCCCTCTAAGGTGGCATTCTTCATGTGGACAGCAGCATTAGGACGGAATCTTACGATTGATAATTTGGTGTGGCTTGGTCATTTTCTTGTGAATCGGTGTTGCATGTGTTGCACGGATGCTGAGTCTGTTGACCATTTGTTTTTGTACTGTTCTGTGGCTAGCCGGTTGTGGGGACTTATGCGTTCTCTTTTTGGGATTGTTTGTGTTCAGCCGCTGTAGGTGGTGGATATGCTGTGGAGTTGGCGTGGAGGTTGGGTTGGTCGGCGGCGGCGTGTGTGGTCTATGGTGCCCCTTTGTTTGATGTCGCTAGTTTGGTTAGAGTGTAATAGGCGAACTTTTCATGAGGTTCGCCATGATGTTTCGTGGCTCGAGAGTCGTCTTCTTACAGTTTTGTATAGTTGGATGGAAGGGAAGTTTGATCCGGATTTGTTTGTCTTGTTAGATTTTATAGATGATATTAATGGTTAGGAGTTTGTAGGCTCTCTTTGAAGTTTGTATTTTTTGCATCATCTTGATGCTCTTTCAATAAAGCTTGTTTATTTATCAAAAAAAAAAAAAAAAAGTTAACACGACAAATTCCAAAAAAGTAGGACACAAACATGGTTAGGACACACCATAAATAATTATATTATCTAGGAATATATTATATATATGCATAATATACACAACATTAAATACTTATTTTATACCAAGTAAAAGCTGTATCTAAGTCTCTTGCATGAATTTTTTTTTTATTGGACCATGATAGTAAAAAATCAGACAAACTTAGCAATCATATATAATTGCAACATTTCCTTCATTCTCCTAAGCCATCTACTAATACTTTTATGTATCATTTTCATTTTTCATTTAATTTTATGTGAAACATCAAACGGATCATAACATACACAACATTAAATACTTATTTTATACCAAGTAAAAGCTGTATCTAAGTCTCTTGCATGATTTTTTTTTTTATTGGACCATGATAGTAAAAAATCAGACAAACTTAGCAATCATATATAATTGCAACATTTCCTTCATTCTCCTAAGCCATCTACTAATACTTTTATGTATCATTTTCATTTTTCATTTAATTTTATGTGAAACATCAAACGGATTATTCTTAATAATTATATATATATATATATTTTAATGGTGTGTTTGTGTTTGCTTGGAGGATTTAGGGAGGGATTTGGAAAGGGAAAGAGAAAAGATGTGTGAAACTAGGTGAAATTTAGGCATGTTTTATTCATATTTCACCTACCTTTTCCATTTCCCTTTCCAAATCACTCCTCAAATCCCTCAACCAAACACAACATAAGGGTATAAGATATTCATGTCAAACTCAAATGTTGAAAATCATCTTAGCGAATGTCGATTAAGTGTTGGTCTCATGTTTGTTTTTTAGTGATTGGCCAAGAAGTGACGGACATGTTGCAAAATGTGTGTCGGATATGTGTCCAAAATTAAGATTTTTATTTTTAAATTTGGACATGGAAAAAGAGTATCAGATACATGTCGGACACTTCCACATTGCCTTTTTAGAAGTGTCCATGGTTCTTAGGTTTTAGGTCTAGTTGTAAGGCTAATAAAACACTTATATGTTGTTCTAATAGTGTAAAGTTTGTGAGGCTTTTAAATGTGTTCAGTCCCCATCTTTCTTTTTCTTTTTCAACTTGCTAATTCGTTGTTGAGTCTGTTAATAAAAGGTTGAAGCAGTGACTCATTTGAACCTTTCTCTTTTTTATAATTTTTATAATTTTTTGGTTATCTGTGCTATCGAGATGATACTCTGGCTTATACTTGATGATTGTTGTTTGATTGGTTTGCTTAAATAATGCATAATACCATAAATCTTGATTGCTTTCTTGGTTTGTGATGATTCTAAAGCTGGGACTCCATCTGTTTGAAAAACTAGGTAGAAGAACTTCTACGTAGAAAGCTTGCTAAGGAGGTTGCTGAGAAGGAATTTCGGGAGTTTGTGCAGTTGTTGAAATCTGCCAAGTCAATGCCTTCACATGCTAAACCCCCCAAATCCTCATGGGAGGTTAAGGAGAAAATTCGACACAGAATCAAGTCTCTTGAAGCTTATGCCATTGATATGTGCGAAAATGATGACCAAAAGAAAACTGCTGGGATGGTATTTGGCTACCTGTCCAGTGCACCTTAACTTTTTGAATTTTGATGCTACCTGCCCAGCTCATCAATGTTTGGTTTCATAATCGACTTGGTCACACATGTAAACTGCAGACCTAATGTAGTATCTTTTTTCTTCTCGTCAGATCATGAAGGCAATGGGATTGACAAAGACATCAACTTCAGCATTAAATCTTCTCATAGATGTTGGGTATTTTGCAGTACACGTCAATCTTGATCTGTTAAAGTTCAACATTCGCACTGACCATTCGGATGAGGTTATGTCAGCTGCTGAAAGTCTTCTGTTGGAGTCAACAGACCCAGATGAAGTAAGTTTGCTTTTATTTTCTAAAGGATATAATAATTTCTAATATACTAATTTAGATGTCTTGGAACTAAGTAGCACAGATATGAACACACTGAGTTTCAAAAAATGCAGGACATGATATGCTTGTGCCACATTAAAAATCTATGACTGTTTGGTAGAGCTTTCGAAAACTAATTCCACCCATATATTTGAATGCTATGTTTGGTTTAAGTTTTGAAATCATGGTTCCAAATCAATTTCAAAATACATTTTGAAAACATGTTTGGTGAAGTAGGCAATTTTTGAATTTTTGGTCTACCCGGTCGTCCGGCCGGACATTCGGATCCTCCCAGATGTTCGGCCGGTTGACCGGAACAGTACAATTTTTTTTTTTTTTGCCATTGCCAATCGCCACCTGTTTTTTGGGATAAAAAAGTTATATTTGTTTTTGATATTTCTCAAATATACAAATTATTTTTTTAGATCAAAATGACAAATTATTTTTTTGAATTGAATTTTAAAAGAGTTGGCTATGAATTTTGAATAGAATTTTAATAGAGTTTTGAATTGTGTGTTTGGTTATGAGTTATAAGTTTTTGAATTAAGTTTTGAAAACTCTTTTCAAAACTCATGACCAAACAACTTTTCTCATTTCATATGTCACATAAAAAATTCAAAACTCAATTCAAATTCATAACCAAACAAATTTTCTCTTTTCAAATCATAATTCCAAAACTCACAAACTCAAAATGCAACTCTATTATCAAATCATAATTCTAAAACTCTACCAAACACTACTTATATTTGTATAAATTTATTATGTATATGTCAAATATATGAATAGTTTATTCAAAGATAATGAAAGAAAAGCAACATAACACTAATTAAAATTAAAGAACACTATATTCTATATCTTAAAAGTCAAGATATCATTCACCCCAGTGGTCTTGCACTATCTTAATGCCTACTATGATGTCCAGTGGGCCCATGGTCTGCCCACTCAGCAACGACGGTCCACATCTGTCAACACCTCACATGTTTGAATTAGCTACATAAAGAAAAAAAACCTTAGAAACCCGCCCCTGGTTTCTTTTTTTAAGCCCTTAGTAAATTTTCCTTGAGTGCCAATTCCTATTTTCAATTTGCTTTGTCAATTGAGGTCATGTGCTCAACATCTGATTGCTGAAGTGTATGTGGACTCCCCCACATCAAAAGGTTATGAATACACAATAATCAAAATTGGCAATTAAGTACTGCTTGTCTTCAAAAAAATAAAAAAATAATACAAAATATGTCCTAATAAGTTAATCTATATCACTTATTGGAGAAATGTCTTGTCTGTTTGCAATTGTGCCGTCTCCTATAAGATAGATGGTTGAGATGTTGCAGATCAGTTCTGCTTTTGAATACTTTTGTAGTGGCTCCCTGTACTAACCCCAAAAAATTATGTAATCTAAATTTTATGTTGCATGATAATTTTAGCACATATTTTGAAACTTCTATGGCTACATATTCATTTGATGTTTCTTCTGTTTAGGTTGACAGAATTGATCTTACTGACCTGAAAGTTTATGCAATTGATGTTGACGAGGCTGATGAGGTAAAAAAAAATAAAAAAAAAGATGATTTTTTGGGCACAATTGTTGGTAAATTGAATTCAGCTGTTTGAGATCTCTTAGTAACATTTTTTTAATTTTTATTTATTAATTTATTTGGGAAGCTTTTGCTCTCACATTACTAATTGACCAAGATATGCAGCTTGATGATGCACTGAGTGCAACAAGACTGCAGGACGGTCGTATTAAAGTTTGGATACATGTTGCCGATGCAGCTAGCTTAGTTCAACCTGGGAGCATAATTGACAGGTAATATGGAAATCTCATGGTAAATGTAATTATTATAGCCCTGTCATCCTTAGAGGTTTTTAATATAGTTCGTGCTCTTTAGAGAGGCCATGAAAAGAGGAACTTCTGTTTTCTTGCCCACTGCCACTTATCCTATGTTTCCTGAGAAACTTGCTATGGACGGAATGAGCTTGAAGCAAGGAAAGCTGTGCAAAGCTGTTACTGTGTCTGTTGTGTTGCATTCTGATGGCAGGTAAACTTTTCATGTATTTGATATGAATTTTTTTTGGTCAGGATTTTGATATGAAATGCTCAGCGTCTGCTTTATTATATGCAAATACTAGTGCTGCAACTCAGGTGGGTTTGGTTGAGCCAGGGGTTTGGCCAGGTCCTGTCCAAGGTGTGTACAAGGAAGGACTTGCCTAATCCTGACCTAGGAAGCACGGATAAAGATCCAGGATACAGATCCGATATGATACAGATACGACAAAACTTATAAAAGTAGGATATGGGTACGGCTAGGATATGTTTGTAAAAAAATATTTTTTAAAATATTAGTAGGGAGTTACACAAGCTCAAGAATGTTGAGGAACCTCACTATAATTTTATAACGCAAAATACTAATCTTTAAAAATTAGGTAATAATTTAAGCCATTAGCTTGTTCATTTCTTAAATTTCAATAGGTATTACAAACATTTTGTTTCAATGTCAAGTTCAATGTGTTTATACCACAATAGCAGAACAATCTACATGAATTTGTCCATATGTTTTTGCCTTTTACACTACTCAAAAATGTTGTATATCAGTTTATTTGCTTATTTATTTATTGATAGTTAATTCTGCTATTGTTTTATTCACTTTCTATATAATTATACTTTATATGAGACATGCATGATACAATAAGGATACGTCAATTTGACAAATTCTATTACTTTTAACTCACTATGGTTTTATCAAAGAACTAAGCAAAGTATTGGAAAAATATTATTGTATTTATCCTCACAATTAAGATATATTATAATGCTATGCAAGAAATGCTATAATTATAATTTCGTAAAACAAGTAATACGTGACTTGGAGTATCCGATACTTAAAAAATAAGTATCCAATACTTCAGAATTAATGAAAAATTAATTAAGAAGTATCCGATACGTATCTGGGATATCTAAGTAGTATCGGTATCCGATATGGATACGATACGGATACGTCTCCTTTTAGAAGTATCCGTGCTTCATAGATCCTGACCTTGAGCCCGAGGTGTTCTAGATGAGGCCCAGCCTGAGTTTAAATTAGTGAACTCGGGTTAGGCTTGGGTTGTCCTGAAACACCACTATCATATTCTATACATGCCACTATCTACCACCAACACCACTATCATATTATATGCATGAACACAATTTCCAGCACATGCCTAATTAGGCTTAGCTTTTCTTATCTTTGAATTTGTGTTTTACAATTTCTATTTCAATTCCTAGTTAGTAGTATCAGAATAATAAGGATCAGGTTGTTATCCTTTTCTTAGAGATTTGGTTGCTATCCCTTTAAGAGATTAGGTTGTTATCTCTTTAGTTTTTGTTTATCCTACTCCTAGATTTAAGTAGTGGTTCTCTATTTATGTTGAGAATAAACGCAGTGAAGGCAAGCAGATTTTCCCCCCAACAAAGTATTCAGGAGGAAGGGGTCCCTCGAAGAACCCCATCAGTATTCACTAATTCTTTTTTTGATTCAACCAGTATTCACTATTTGCTACCAGCAATATTCTTCCTTTTACATATCTTTACTAAGATCCTTTACACCAGGAACTGATTCCACTGAATTGACTTGCTGACTATCTACCACTTACTATTAATGGCGTCCCTTCACAACTGATTGCTTCCATGAAATGATTGCATTTCTCCAAGTGAATCTGCATTTCGAGAACAAAAATTAATCTTAAAATTTGCAGCAACTCAAAAATCTGCAACTACAAACAAATGAAGAAAATCTGTATATGTATGTATGTATACACACTTGTAACGCCAAAAAAAAAAAAGAAAAAAAGAAGAGAAAAGCTTGGCCATATATTCACTTACCAGGAAGATGGTCACCACTGATTCTTGATACTGAAATAAGAGAGAGAGAGAGAGAGAGAGAGAGAGAGAGAGAGAGAGAGAGAGAGAGAGAGAGTGTCTTGTGTCAACTATCATCGTACTGTTAACCATCCGGAAGCACCTTGAGGATCATTCTGACGAACATCAATCCCATTGTGCAAAGAACAGAAATGGCATTCCTAATTCAGTGACAAACTTCTGAATACATCCCATGTCCAGAAATAGATGATTTTGCTAATGAGATTACAGACTGTAATTGTCCAAGTCTTCGACAACATGTCAAGCGCTGCGAATTGGATTAAAGAATCTGATA